CCAGTTCCCATGTGAGGGGGACCTTGAGGCACAGGTCCTGTCAGCCCTGAGACCTCAGGGCTCCAACTCGCTGTGCACACTGACGGTGCCATGAAATGAACCCTGAACCAGACCCCCCAAAATGGTCAAGGGTTATGCTGAACCTGTCCTTCACCACCCTCAGGGCACTCAGCGTGGGTCAGCCTCCCACCCTGCGGGTGGGCGGGGCCACTCGGACAGCGGCAGGAAGGGACCCAGCTCTGGTTCAGGCGGGCCCTGGACCTGCTCCTGTCTCTGGCCAGCCGCGACCTGGACCTGCCCGCATGGCGTCATGGCCAGTCTGCGCCTGGTGCGCCTCGGCCCCGGGCTCAGAACCCTCTTGTCTAAGTAACTTCTGGGCAATTCTGTATTTGGGAATTTTTAAGGCAAGTTTTTGATTATTATCTAAATGTCATTTTCAAACAAGGGAGATGTGCAACCAAACCACGTGCTGCAGGTTCCTCGGGGCCCAGAGCGTCTGGTTCTGGGTGGTGCTCACCAAACCGCCCGAGTCTGCACGGAACACGGAACCGGGGGAGAGAAAACTGCGCCCTCGTGTCCCTGCACCCCCAAGGCCCTAAGTCCCGGTGCCCCCATGTCCCTGCCAGCCACTGGAAGTTACAAGTCCGTCTGAAGAGTGCACACGGGTCCCGGCACCCGGGCACACCTTTGGGAACCACCCCTTTGCCGATATCCCCAGAAGTGGGGGCCCAGGAAACGGAAATGTAAACCCGATTTCAGGAGCTCAGGTTGCACTACAGACTGTCTCCCAGGTCCCAGTGTGCATCTGTCTTGCAGAAACTCGGAGCAGAGAGGCTGTGTCCAGGGTGAGGAGGGAGAGCGGCCCGTCCCCGTCCCTGTGAGGCTGTGACACGTTGTGACCCTCACAGAAACTCCGCTCAGCCACGCGCTGTGAGATTCCCACTGGTTTTCTCCTCAGTCTAACGTAAGGCTGCCTCCACCCAACAGGACAAACGCACAATGGGAGCCCGTCCGGGGCCTTCCCTCCAGCCCCCCAGGCCCCCCTCCCCCGCCAGGACAGCGGCTGCGGAAGGCAATTTCCTGGTCCGCTGGTCGGAGGAGGTGGGGAGGCCTGCTCAGCCCTGCCCGGGCGAGTGTGGCCAGGACGGTCTGGCTGGGGACGCTCCAAGGTGGGAGGTCAGGGGGAGGTGGGTCTGCGGATGGGACTTTGCACCATGAGGTGGCTGAGCCAAGTTGGGGACAAGGGCTGCTCCGGGCACTCACTCGGTTCAGGTGGAGGGTTAGGGGTGACGGGGTGGCACGGCCCCTGCTCCTCAGGCTGGCCTTTCTGGGTGCCCTTCTTCACTCCACTTCCTTCCTTGCTCCAGACAGCTCAGTGCCCACCGAGGCCTCCAACGGGGGCTGGGGTCCTGCAGAGCCGAGGGTGTGTCTGAGGGGTCCGGGTGGGGCCAGCCGCTCTGCCTGGCTCTGCCTTCGGTCACTGGGGTTCTGAAAGGGGTTCAGTTCTGTCGCTTTACAAGTGGGGAAACTGAGGCTCCGAGGAGGCTCGTGACTTGCCCAGAGCGTCTCAGGACGAAGAGCAGGCACTGGGACCCGAGCCGTGTGACCTTTGCGTGTCCTCCGACCTGCCAGCCGATGCCATGGGGCCTGCCCCAGACTCCAGCCTGGTATGCGGTGGACCACGCCCTCCTGCTGGCCGCCCTGGTCTCGGGGACAGGCTGTCCTCCCAGGTGGGGGCACCCAGGGCTCCCCCTGACTCAGCTCCAGCTGGGCCCTAGCTCAGCCTCCCGGAAGGAGGGCACCAGGGGAGAGGTCAGCAGCCTGCTCGGGCTCCCAGGATCGGGCCTGGCGCCTTCTTCCCTACCCGTGCCCCAGCCACCCTCTCCTTCAACCCCCGCAGCAGAAGGTGTCCGGCCTTGGTCCCCGACAAGTGCCACCTGATGGCCACAGGTGACACCCCATTTCTCACCTCCAGGCCTGACTGTCCCCGAAACCCAGGCTGTGTGTCCGTCTGCTCACTCACTGTCACCCTCGAGGTCCGGCAGGTGTCTCCGGGCCTAACTCAGGTCCTGTGACGTCCATGCAGGTCCACTCTCCCTGCCGCCTCACCTCGGAGCCCCCCCCCCATCTGCCAGCGCCCGGCTTGTCCCTGCCCCCGCCGTCCAGCAGGGGTGAAGGCTGAACGGAGGTGTACAGCAGGGGATGGGTCGGCCGAGCCGGCTGGGGCAGCCGTGCTGGGTGAAGGGCAGCTCCGCTCGTGGCTGCCCCAGGACGGGCTGCCCAGCCTGGTTCACTCAACCTCTAAGGACGGATGACTCACGCGAGGGCCCGCAGACTAGGGAAATGAAAAGATTGTGATGACGGGCTTGGCCTGGAGGCCCTTCCTTTAGTCCGCAGCGGGCCTGCACTGTGAGCAGGGTGTGCGGGGGTCTTCGATTCTGCTTTCGATTTGGGGGGAAAGACCCAGAGCAGACGACGTGACTCTATGTCTGTCTCCCCCGGGGCGCACTGTGCACCCCTGGGCAGTGCACCATGAGAGCGTTGAAGAAGCCCCAGAGGGCAGGAGGGTGGATGTGTTCCTGGGGCACCCTCAAGAGGAAAGGCTGGAAGGAGGGGGCCCCCTGGGTGGGGGCAGCTGGCTGAGGGCCGGGCTGGGAGATGCCCGGCGCCCGCCTGTGCTGGGCCTGGCTCCATCACGGCAGGTGACTGTGGTGGGAATTGCTGGGTGCAGGGCCTCCGGGAGATGGCCCCTGTGGAGTGTCCCCTGCCTCAGGACGGGGGTGACCTGGGCCCAGGCTGGATACCCTCCTGGGCTCGGCTGTTCATGGAGAAGGTCCCTCCTGGCGGGCTGCAGCGTGCTGGGCTGGGGCACTTGGCTTCTGGGGGTGCCTGGGCGCCCTCTGAGGACCTGGCCCCACACCCCCATGGATTGTTTAGGACACAGGAACATGTGCGGGGAGGGGGGAGGGGCAGGGGCCGCGTCTGTGAGGCACCCACTTCCTGCAGCAGCTCCAGCCATCTGGGCTCCGGAAATTGGGCTTGCTCTCCAGATCCCCTCCGGGGCTCCACGTTCCCGGGGCTGATGGAACATGCAGGCCTCCCGGTGACCCAGAAAGTCGCATGTCTTCCCCAGGATGGAAACAAAAACCCTGCTAAGTGGGAGAGTTGCCCAGCAAACCTGCCAGGCCCTGGCCACCGGCCACGTGACCGGAGAGCCGCCGAGGGGCCCAGGCGTCGTCCTTCGCGACCTCTGAGCACTCGCGGGCCTGCCCGGCCCACAGGACCAGCGGGTCCTGGGTCTGAGCAAGCTGGTGCATGCTGGACAGGGTCCTGGAGGCCGGCCGCCAGGGCTCCTGGCCCCGCCGACAGCAGTCAGTTCTCAGGACAGAAGCTCGGGGACACAGGGCACCCCTCTTTCGTGCTCCAGGCTCTCTTGCCTGATTCCCCAGCAGCCCTTCCAGTGGCCTCCGCCCGGTAGCTGGGGAGCTTGGAGGGTGCCTGGCTGGTCACTCTGCCCCTGGGCAAAGCTCTTTGGGGACAACACACCTTTGGGAAAAGTCCCACAGTGTCAGCAGCTCCCATGAGGGTCGCCCTGGGCCTGGGGACCTCCCTCAGGGTCTTCACCCTGCCTGCTGTCCCCGTGCATGCCTGACAAGCCTCTCCTGCCCTCCAGACCCAGCGGCCCCCCCAGGAGACAGGACTCTGCTCGCAGCCCCTCTGCCTTTGTGCTCAGTGCCCACCGATGCTAGGGGCGGGCTGCGTGGCCGTGGGGTGCCTGGGTCTCCCTTCAGCTGCCCTGGGGCCACTTCCCACTTCGAGGCCACACCCTGGGACTTGTCCCGACCCTGGGTAGTGGCCACCCTCCCTTTGCTTCCTGAGGACGGCTGGGTGGATGTCAGCCCCTGCCTGGTCTCGAGTCCATTGCTGGCCCAGGAGCTCCCAGAGGTGGGCTTGCTGGTCGGAGATTTGTCTCTCCTGTTCCCCAGGGGAGGATGTCAGGCCCTGGCAACCGGTCACTCGTCAGCCGGGGTGGAGTGGGGCTGTCCAGGATGCCTGCAGGTTGGAACGGTCATGGGTCGGGGAGAAAGGTGAACCATCAGCTCAGGCCGCTGACCGACCTGTTCAGCCAGCCCGTGTCCCGGTGACTCGCGAGCTTGGTGGGCAGGAAGAGGCCGCGGCAGGTAGCAGCGCTGGGGCCGTGACAAGCCATCTGAGCAGAGGACACAGGGGTGGGCTCCAGGCTGTGGATGTCCGGGACGTCCCGGGGCGGGGGCAACTAAGGCAGCCCCTGTGGCCCTGTCTCAAGAACACGCCTCTCCCAGGACTAGGGTGCTGGACGCCTGATGATCAGCTACGTGAAGGTTCTCCAATAGCATGCAGCCTGCCAGGGCCCAGGGAGAGGCCTAAACCACAAAACGGTGAAGAGCTACAGAGCCCAGCAATTGGGCTTCGGGGAGTGGAGGAGAGGGGAGAGAGGAGCTGTGGTCCTGGAGGACTTCCTGGAGGAGACGGGATCGAGATTTGCAGTCAGCGAAGGAGGGAATTTTCAAGAAGGGCACTGAGCGTGTTAAGGCCCCGGATGCGGGACGACCTATGGGGTGGTTGTGGTGCAGAGAATCCCAGCTGGCGCTGCAGGGTGGGTCTGGGCAGGGGCCAGTGGGAAACAGCACAAGGACACTGAACGAGGGAGGGGCAGGCTGGAGGGGCCCAGGGGCCCAGAGGCCACAGGCAGGACGGACCAGGCTGTCCGCAGGGGAAGTAGAGGCCCTGGCCTCCCTGTGACCTCTGACTGTCCCTTCCTGATCCTGTCTTTATTGTTCTGAGTAGCAGCTGGGCCATTTGGCAGACTGGGGATGAAGATGCCAAGGCAGGACCTTGACCAGAGGGAAAACTCCTGCCCGCTCAGTCTGCTGAGGTTCCCCACAAAGTGAGACACGAGGAGACGCTTACACAGGCCCGCAGTAGCTGCTGAACCCCGGAATGTTTGTGTTTAATCCTCTGACACAAACACACCCTCGATGCAAGATCGTCCCAAGGCAGTTCCAGGATCTACAAACAGTATCAGACAGGACGGGGGGCGGGCTGGGTGTGGGAGCCGGGGGAAGGCTTGACGGGGCCCATCCCTCGGCCCTGCCAGGAGGTCCCAGGCCACCTGCGTGACGGTGCGCAGCTCACGGAATGACTCACCTCATGCAGTCTCCTGGAATGCGAGGCCTCCGCCAAAGGGCCCTTCTGACCCCACCTCCAGCCCAGACCTGCGGGGTGGGCGCTGGGCAGGCCCGGACAGTGCCGACTGCGCTCGGGGTGGGAAAGGCATTTGCCTTTTTGTATCTGTTATCACAAAGCAGCGCGTGGGGCCATGATGACATCCAAGGGACCCTGACAGGGAAGGGCTGGTCTGGACAAGGCCGGGCCTGTGGGCACCAGGAGCCGGGCCTCTCCCTTCCTCTACGCCTGTGCCACAAACCAGCCTGTGTGGAGGGGCCTCCCCACGCTGCTGCATCTGCCTTTCTTTCCGGGACTCGGGGTGCCCCAGACATCCTCAGATGGTTCTCGGAACTCAGCTCTCTGCCAGACAGAGAAGTCCAGGCTGGCCTTTTTTTTTTTAATCTTCACCCGAGGACATGTTTCCATTTATCTTCAGATAGAGCAGGCGGGAAGGAGAGAGACAAACATCGACGTGAGAGGGCTACATGGACCAGCTGCCTCTTGCCCGACCCGGGGACCAACCGCAGCCAGAATTGAACCCGAGACCCATTGGTCTGCGGGCCGACGCTCTAACCGCTGAGCCAAACCGGCCAGGGCGAGGCTGGTCTTGTACTCACATCTAATCTCTGACCAAGGCTCTGGGCAATGACCTGGTCGGTGGATCGTAAAGAGAACACGATGCCACCTCTGCCTGTGCAGACACCGAGGCCTGGGCCACGCCGGTGGACACCCCTGTGCTCGGAGGGACGGTCTCTTCTCGGGGGCGGGGCCTGCCGCCAGCGCTGTGGGTGAACTCGGCTATTCCCGAGCGATTCATCTGTGCGTCTGTGACCCGAGGACGGGCTCCTGGCCCACCAGCCTTTGGAGGGACCCCCAGCCGAGCCCTGGAGCCGACGCCCTGGCAGCTGCTCTCCAAGGAGGCGGATGTTCTGCAAACGACAGAGATGAACTGAGACAACAGAGAAGTCACCCCAGAGCCACGTTGCCGCCGGAGACAAAGCGAGGGACAGCGGGGACGTCTGTGGCCCGGAGTGGGCTCCTCGCCAGCAGTGGGTCGCCGTTGCCCAGACCAGTCACCAGGCCTTTGTCCGGAGCTGGCCAGGGTCCCCGCCTGGCGAGGCCACCGTCTCAGTTTGCGTGTGAGGCCAGCAAATCGGTGTGGAAGGCAGCCAGGAGGCCGACGCGGGTGCGTGCCGGCCCATGAGAAGGGAGACTGAGGCCCGGGACGCTAATGAAGTGCCCCAGGCAACGGTCAGCAAGTGTCCATGGAGGCTCCAGAGATCTCTGGCCACACCCTGCTCTATAGGGGCCGTCCCCTCCTCGGCTGGAAGGGTGACTTTGAAGCAAACACACTGTTGACCGTCTGCACTCTGGTGACCGAAGACGGGTCCAGTCATCCCGCCCAGGAAGCTCTGCCCTCCGGGGAGTTTGCGGTCCCGGCTGAGTCCCTTCCTGGGTCTTCTCTGAAGTCTTGTTTCTCTCCTTCAGGAGACAGTTCGCCTGCCTCCAGCCCACACCTGCAGCGTCCTGACAGTCCCTGGACCACAGCAACCACCTACGCCCGGGACGGAGGCCGAACAGCTGCGCCCCGTCTGAGCCCAACCCTCCTGACCTCCGGCACAGCCCTTTCTCCAGCAAAACAGTGAGATCGTGACTTTAGGTCTTTAAAAAGGGGTTTTTTTTTTAGAGCCCCCTCGGAGGTCACAGCCTTCACTTGGGACCCAACGTGTTGCCGTCATTTCCCAAGCTCGGTGTCCATCGGCACCAGGTCGATGTCCGTGGTGGGGAGCTGAAAAGGAGAAACACTGACCACTCCCAGTGACTCAACTGATACATATGCAAAGCTGACCCGCATGGAGAGGAGCTCGGGACACCCACTCACCCCGGAGCTGAAGTGTTCAAATACAGCACTGCCTGCTGACCGGGGTCATTTTCAGATACCACGCCTGGTGTCCTGTCTTCCACGCCAGACCCCCCAGACTGGGGATTCGAGTATCGGGGGCCCGTTACCCAGAACATGGGGGAAGTGTCCCTCTCTCTCTCTCTCCTGACCTAAGGAGGACACACACTTACCCGGAGGCGAAATGCCCATGAAGTCAGCCAGAGTCCGAGGACAGAGGGGTGTGTCGTGCCGTGCGCACACTTCCGTTTATTGGGGTGCCTCCAAAGGCGATGTCAGAGAACAGAGGCCGTGAAATGGGAAGCGCCTGTTCTGAGCATATGCACCCCCCTCAGATGCTCGGCCGGCAGCAGTGCGACCCGGGCGGGCCGAGGAACCGGTGGGACCTGGGTTCTTTCTTTCTCTCCTAATTATTTTCTCTCCAAATGAAACCCCGCGGGGATAGAACTTACTGAGTTCGGAATGTTCCAGGACACTGCAGAGGCTGCCTTGTTTTTGAAGCTGCTATGCTCCTGCAGTGACCTCTGGGGCCTTCTCCCCGCCTCTCCTAACTCCTTCGCGAAGGGGGAGGGTAGCAAGCAGCCCGACCCCAGTGCCAGCACCTGTCCTCCCCTGGACACCCCAAGGCTTGCCCCTGCCCCTGCACAGGGTGAGGACTCAGGGCCTCTTGAGGTGCCTGGGCACCAGGTTAGCCCTTGAAGACTGAGGGTCTGTGTTTTGCATTAATATGTTGGGATGTTCGCTCTGATCCCCTTTCATGGGGTGCCTGCAGGAGGGTCCTGGGGAAGGGGCGGGGGAGGGGAGACCGTCTAATGTGAGGGTGGGTTTGGGGGGTCATGAGCCCAGGCTCCTTGGGGGTCCCGGGGCCAGTGTCCCCGAGGTTGATGGTGCTGAAGGCTCACACACACACCTGCAAACCGCAGTGAATCTCAGAGGAGAGATGGTTCTGTCCGGCTCCTCATCCACAGAGCTGATCACATCCAGCCTCCCTCCTGACAACGCCCCGAACACCTGGCTGGTGCAGCCAACGCGCTTCTGATCCGGAGGAAGCCGGTCTGGGGCTCCGCTCTCAACAGGTGGCAGCCCTGGCTTCTTTCGTTTATTTTTATGATACCCTCATGGTAATGACACTCATTTACCTTTTTTAAAAATAAACTTACCCTTTTAGCCAAATACATGACTTGTGTGTGTAAATAACCGTTTTAAGGAATCAAATCCAAAGGGATGTTTGGAAAACACTGAGTCCAGTCCTGCTTCTGACATCTGAAATGCTCCCACAGACCCCCCATCAGAACACTGGCCCCCAGAGGCACCCCGGCCGCTCTGGGGGAACGCTGCTCCCTGCCAGAGGCACCCCGGCCGCTCTGGGGGAACGCTGCTCCCAGCAGGTGCACAGCTCAGGCCTCTGCAGAGCAGCTCAGCTCCCTGGGGGTGGGGGTGGGGGGCTGTAGCGTGTGTCCCGTCCACTCCTGTTCCAGGTCCCTTGGCAGGCCCTCATCCTCTCCGAGGGACCTTCTCCATCCAGGACAACCGTGGCTGTCTCTTCCTCGTCACGGGCTGTTGCAGGAATGGAGGCCAATATCCCAGGAGCAGCTGGACCTTGACCAAGCCCCCAGGAGTGGAGACTTGCGTGGAGCCCCGAGGACAGCACCAGGGACCCCCCCAGACCAGAGTGAGTGGGTACAAGGGCCACCCTGCAAAGGAAGAGCATTTCCTAAGTTCACAGGAATGCAGACATTTTCCCATGAGCCCCAGCACTGCCTCCCCTCTGCGCTGACCTCCGCCCCTCCCCCAGCCCACAGGAAGCCACCAGCCCCAGCACGTCCCCTGTGGCTCAGCTGAAGCTGCCTCACCAGCCTCAGGTCCCACTGATCATTTCCTCCTCACCCAGTGTATCTCCGGAGTCTAGCACACACACGTGGCTGACTTCTGTAGACTCTTCTAAAATAAGCTCACTTTACAGAAGCCAAAAAGGGAAAATTGTGGCGTGTTATTGCGATCAGCTGTTAATACGTTACCTTGGCAAGCGGTGCGCGTCTGTATGGGCCAAGCGGCTCGGTGGGCCGACCTCGTCCCCTTGCGGAGACGCAGGGAGGAAGCAGTGGGCTCGAGGTCCCACAGCAGGAACGTTGGCGGAGATTCAGACAGGACCTCCTGTGGATGGCGATGTGTCTGGCACTCCACACCCCCAGGCCTGACATCAGTGCTGACTTCAAAAAGCGGATCGTTTTACCCAAAAGGCAACAGGCGGGAAACACTGACTCCCCCAGGCGAGGGCGCTGGCCGCACCGTACACCCAGGGCATGTCCCCAGGTGGCCCTCCCCCGCAGGCCGCCTCCGCTCCCAGGGGCTCCCGGGGAAGCACCCTGGGGACCTGTGCACAGGTGGGCGTCCCACACCAAGACCTGCTGTGACCTTTGCGCGGCGGCAGCTTTCCCGCCTCCACGTCTCCACGGGCCACCAGCATGTTGGGGTAGAAAACGTCGCCCTCCCAGGGCCTCTCCCAGAGGCCTGGGTCCCAGCGTCAGTTGGAAACGGTCGCCTCCTGAGCTGGGGAGGGGGCTTCGCCGCTGGGCACCGGTTTCCCCGCCAGCCCGGGGATGCTGCGTCTCTGGGGTTGGGGAAGCATTAGTCGGCCAAGGCCTGAGGCCCCGCACTGGCTCCGGGGGCGCCGGGCCCCTGGGCGCTGGCCACTGGGGATGGAGGTGTCGCGGTCCCAGGCCCAGCCTCTCGCCCCTCGGGTCTCGAGCCCCCTCCCCTGGCTCTAGCCCGGCCGCGCCCCGCCCCTCCAGCCCTCCCGCTCCGCCCGCGCCGCGGGCTCCAGTGGCTGTCATCTCAGTGGGCGGGCCCGGGGCGCGAGGGGCCGGCCCAGCCCGCACCGCGCCGCCATTGGCCGGAGCAGGTGAGCCCAGGCGGCGCCTCCCCACGGCGGGGGCGGGCCCGGGAGCGGATGAATGAAGCCGGAGTGGGCTGCGAGAGGCCGTCAGAGCGCGGTGCGCACCGCTACTGCCAGGACGCGGGACGGTGAGTGCTCCGTGGAGCGCGGGCCGCGTTGGGTGGGGGCGCCGCCCAGGTGCGCTGGGCCCGACCAGCTGAAGTCAGGAGCGCGGGCAGGTGCCCGCCATGGTTGGGCAGGGGGCCCAGCGTGGTCGAGGTGGCGCTTGCGCCGGGCGCGGCGGGGGTCTGGGACCCAGAGTGCGCCCCAGGCCCTCGAGGCGGGAGGGCTGGACCCAACGTGGACCAGCGCCCCACAACCCTGCTGCCTCGGATACAAAATGCACCCCTTCTTGCTTCCAGCGTCTCGGGGGGAACCCTTGGAGAAGGCAGGCGCAGGGCAGGGGAAGAGTGGTGGGTGGTCGGAGCTCAAACGGGGGTGGAGGGAGCGTTCAGGGCGGGTGGCGGGGACCAGCGGCCGGGCGCCCACGCAAGAGCAGGCCACGCGGGTCCGGCCAGGGAAAGGCCCAGCTCCGGGAGCCGCCGGGTTTCAGCGGGCCCCCACCGACCGCGGACGCCGCTGCTGCTGAGTCAAGGAGGAAACAGCCCTGCTCAGAAGTTACTCGACTTTGCGCGCCGGGCTCCAGACACCTCGAGGAGGGCGCGTGGCGGAAGCTATGGGCGGGCACGGGGCTGGTCCCCAGACGCGGCGACGCCGGTAGTGCTCCTGTTCCCGCCCCACCACGCGAGGTCCCACGCGGGGCCCAGAGCTTCGGCTGGGGGACCCGAGTGCCCAGGCCCTGTGACCCCAGAGCGCCTGGGCTCCCTCCGGCGGCCGTGGGATACGGCCAAGGGGCCTGTAGGAACCGCAGTAGTTTTCCACAGGGTTTAACCAGCTTCCAGCCTCCACTCCTCCCGGGCTGTTTGGAGCTCGGATTTCCTCCGACCAGAAACTGGCTCTGGAGAGCGGCGGGGCTCGGTGAACCGTGCGAGGTCATGCCCTGAGGGTTTATTCTCGTGCAGGGCGGGGCAGGGGGACAGCAGAGGACAGAAAGCTCCAGGTTTTAGCTGCATGCATGACTAGCAGTAGCAATAATAACGACAGCAGGAGCTAATTACTGAGCACGTCGAATGTGCCTGGCCCCGTGCCAAGCGCCCGGAGCATCAGCTCCTTAATCCTGGCAGGTGCAGTTGCAGTTGCTCCCATTTTACTGATGAGTAAACTGAGGTCCTGCGAGGTGAAGTGACCTACTAGCAGTCTCGTAGCTAGTTCAAGGCAGAGAGGTTTGAATCCAGGTTTGTGAACCTCTGGACTTTTATAGTTCTGTTCCTGGGGGGGGGGGGGGTGGCAGGCCCGACACAGAGCGCTGTCCCAAATGGTGGTCCTTGGCGAACAAGACAAGACCTTGGCCATGGGCGGCAGGGAGCATGCCTCTCCAGAGCAGCCAGCACAGCCAGGCTCTCCCCTGTGTTGCTG